TTAAATTGTGTATATGAAGTCTATACCAATAAAACTACTTAAAATATAAGTTAAGAATTGCTTTTCATGTCTCAAAATATTGGAAATACTTACATGCCCATCCTCTTAAACAACTATGGTAAGCAAGTACTTTATTTCTCCAATGTTCATATTGCTAAAAGAATTACATAATGAAACTTTGAAACACCGGATCCTAGAATAAACTCTATATATCATGATGCTGAATTTTTTTTGGAATCAACTGAAGCAAGTAAGAAAGTTTATGTAGGCCTTATTTCAATTTATTCTTTGTTATCTATTAAGAACCAAACCATATTTCAACTGAACCTAAAATTTCAAAACAATGATACAGGGCTATAATGGGATAGTTCTGGTAAAGCACTGCACCCACTAAGAGCAAACAGAAAAGTCAGGCAAAACACATTTCAAGAAATATTGTTCTAAGGCAGATGCAGAGAATCTGGGCGCACTCTAGAACATAAACCCCCTCCACGCCACTTCCTTAGAGCTTGTCTACCACTGGCAGGGTAGATGATATTGAGAACTGAGCTGCTAGAAATAATAAAAGCTTATAGTGTATGAAACAATATTAAATTTGGGAAGCCAAGTCTCTTGAAATAAGAGGAGCCAAGAACTCAGAGAATATACGAAGATGTTGAACCAAACCCTCCATATTGTTTCCGCACTCAAGATAGTTGCTGGCTACGTCCCAAAGAGTTGCTGTTAGGTGGTACTGATTCAGTTCTGATTCATTGCAGACCCTATGCACAACAGAATGAGCCACCAACCCACTCCTGCACCATCTTCACAAATATTCTTATGTCTGAGCCTTTTTGGGTACCACTGTGTTAATCTGTCATGTGGAGAGGCTTCCTCTTTTTCTCTGCCCCTTGACTTTAGTAAGCATCATGCTCTTCTCCAGAGACTGTTTTATGGGACTCTTTTATGATTGCTTTTTAAGTCACACAGCAAGAGGCTAAAAAGCAATCCTAAAATAGCTAAGAACAAGAGTAGAATTTTGAGCCATTATATAATGCTAGGAATATAAAATTAGAATTTAAAACCTTCATGGAGTGGTCATAAGATGCATCTCAAACACTCACTTTCGACCTCTTAGGTGATAAATTCTAGTATTGGAGGTAACCCAAAATCAGATAAAGCATCTTCAAGTCTGGAAACCAGGCTCTAGTTAATTCTGGCCCACAGAGGAGGGGGTGGGGGTGGGTCGGAGGAAGCATCATCCAAAGTCTCTACAATTCTTTTAAAAATTACCATGCATAAGAACAAAGTGATAAAAGCACTCAAACAGACAACAGAAATCAAGATATTATCTCTGTCAGCCATGAATTGTGATGATTAATATGTGCACGGGCAGTGAATTAATGTGGCTTTTCCAGCCAAAGTCTCGAACTCCCACCAAATGACCTTTCCCTGCATGGGGAAAGATACTGATAGGACTCACCTGTGAGTGATTGCGACTAGGATTCCCAGGACTTCCATCCTGACATGTATAAAATGAACCCTCTGAATCAAGAGGGGGGATCTCATTACCAGCAAGAACCAAGAGTAGAGCTTGTCTTCTGAATCTGAGATCCCTGTACAGTGAACCTCCTGGATCCAGATTACAGACAGACCATCAGAGGAGCAGCAGCAGGACCAGGAACCAGAGCACGGAACAGAGTGATACATATCCTAACCCATGGAGCAAGTTAAGCGGAGTGCTTTTGTACAAGAGCTGGCTTGTGGAGTGGGGTGCCTCTAGGCACTGAATTGGAGAAGTTGACCTTGCTGACCCACAGAAGTGGAGCTGAGTGTCTTTGGGCCGAGGCTTACTGAAATGGTGGTGGGGTGGGAGGCACTTAATATGGAGACTTGGGTTTTCGGACCCATGGAGCTTGAGCTGCATGCCTTCAAGTTGAGGTTTAAGCAGAGTGGTGTGCCCCTTTGGACATTTATTAGCAGACCCAAAACTTTGTAACATGTCCTGGTAAACAACTACCTTGAGCATTTCTGACTGGCATTACAATTTGTTAACATCCTTAATAAACCCTTTAATCATAATTTATTTTTTCTATGAGGTTCTGTGTAGCTATTGCAATGGATACTAGAAACTAGAAAGGTAAGATGGTGGACACCAATTATGTCAGAGAAAAATGTCAAGAAAACAGATAGCCAAAATGGAGAATTTTACTAAAGAACTGAAATCTGCTAGAAAAAAAAAATCCAATTTAAATGTTAGAACTGAAAAATACAGTAACCAAATTAAGAATTCAATAGTATCTAAAATTAAGAAATCAACAGATGCAAAGTGTCTTAGCATGTTAGAAGATAGCTCAGAAGGGTCTCCACTGTCAGAAGCATGAAGAGCAGATGGATGAGAGAATAAATTCATAAAAAACTACTGGGAAAAGGTAGAAAATTCAACATCCATGCGACTAGTGTTCTTGTGTGTGAAGAAAGAGAGAGATACAGAATAAATATTTTAATGAATAATAGCCAACACTTTTCAAAAATGAATGAAACATATTGCTATAAACAGTGTCCATACACTATGTGTTAAAAATCCAAACACCTATGGATGTATTATGATTTGAATATAGGGATAGAGTTTGTTTCTCTTGTAATTGCATCTACCAGTGTAAGGTGTGTCTCAAACCAATGAAATTTAAGTTCTAAGACAATTAGGTGTATACTAGCTGCCATCCAGTTAATTTTGACTCAGCACACTCTACTGGACAGCATACAACTGCCCCTTCGGGTTTCCAAGGCTGTGGCTCTGTTTGAGAGTAGAAAGTCTCATCCTTATCCTGCCAGTAAGGAACAGGAAAGCAAGCAGAGCTGGGCCAAAACGGATGCGAGGTCACGGAACTAATGCCAAGCAACCAAATAGAAGAGCTGAAAAGAAACAATAACCTTCCCCCGGACCACCAGACTGAATGCTTTCCACTGAACCTCGTGCACTAAGCTGCTAAACTAAGAGAAAGTAAGTTTGTTTGTTAAAGCCACCATAACTTAGTATTTCTGTTGTAGTAGTACATCTAAGTTAAACAGGTATTAAACTGTGCATTTTAAAAACCACTATGAATCCCAAACAGATAAATAAATACAGAGAAAAACAAAGCAACATCACACTGGGATGCTGCACTCTTGCCTTCATTTCAAAAGAGGAGCATTCCAGAGCTTAGATGCCTTCAGAAGATTTTCATAAGTAATAATCAACATTTAGGAATAGAATTTCCCTCCTTTCCTATTGTCTCAGACTCCACAAGACATGGCTTCCTAACATCACACCTGAAGACGTCAGCCAATAAGGGGGTAGAACAGGGATTAGGGTGCTTAGGTCTCATCAACCAACATGTTCATGCACCCTGTTGTCATCAACAAAAGCCCCCTCACCTCAAATAAGTTCAAGGACTAGTACAATTCTAATCCAAGTTTCTGCCTACTGCCCAAAATTCAGGCTGAAATTTCCTAATCAGAGAAATCTGTTTGAATTCCCAACTCTCCAAGAGGAATTCCTGTGTTGGGAATGCTTGGCACCTGCAGTGGTTGTCTTTGACTTATCCCCTTACTCTGCAACCTACAGTTTCAAAAAGGACTGGCTCTATCTAACCAAATGGTAAAGCCAAAGTAATCTCACAGTTAACAAACCTTTATCAATCCCCTGTGTAAGTATGACAACCAGTTCCCAAAGCTTTTGTGATTATATTTCTACAAAGACATTTGTAGAAATTACTTTCTATAATTATATTTATATGAACATGAATATTTCTACAAAGATAAATGTTAAAAATAAATTATTATTAGACCTGAAAGTTATGAATAAAGTGATATGTAACAAAACAAAACCCCAGAAAAGAAAAGAAAAAATTAATAAGTGTGTATTCTCTTTTTGCTTATCAAGAAAAACAAATATTATATTTACAAATTGCTTTTAAGATACAGTCTACCACCTATAAATTGTGTAAAGTGGGTATTCTTATCTATTTAATCTTTTTCTATTTTGCCAATTTTTTTTCAGGAAATTAATTACATGAGGATTTTAGTCACATATATTTACATACACATGTAACCTTTATATCATTGGAGTAAAAATGAATATTCTTAAAACCTGTCAATGAAAGAAATAACTTTGCTACTAATGTTGGAGGAGTCAGGCCAACTCACAGAGCACTATAGAGATAGAATGGCATCTTGACAATTGCCCCCCCCCCCCAGCATCACACATTCCACAATCCTGGAACAAATGCACACATATGAAAACAGAGAAGACACTCAGTGGACAGGAATTCTCCTGTGCCTTGAGTTTCCCAGTGCTCTGATGTGTTCCTGAAATCCTTTCCAACTTCATACAAGAGGAGTCACACAAGGCCTTACCCACATGCACTCCAGCACAACAGAAGCACTCAGAGTACCGTCTTCCAGAGAAGTCTTTTAAATTGAAAACAGCTCATTTTGAGTTCCGTTTACTTGCATGTCTGGAGAAATACCCTACTCAGAGAAATTATGCATATGATTCTATGCATATTCCCGTAAAAAAAACCCAAACAATCGATTTACCTGCAGATCGGGGTAATCTATGATCATTTCCTGAGAAACATTACGAAGTAGATCTCTTGGATTTTGGTAAAAATGAACTATGTTTAAAAACCTGTCATATATACTCATCTCTTATATTCATGAGGTCATGAGGTCAAATATAACTAATGATTATAAAATTTCAAACAATCCCATCAAGATAACCATAAGGTGCAAATACATCTATAGAAGAGGGGGAACTATTTCTAAATCATGAGATCAATATTTCACTTTGAGTGTCACAAGTCCTGCTTTAGTGTTTACTACTTTCAGCCTTTAAACTATGAACAAATAGTCCATTCTTAATAAATCAGTTGTGAATTCTAGACCAGCGTGGTAAATCTCAGAAGAAAAATCTACCGTGAACATGGAAGGAAGAAAGACGCGGAGTCATCAGATCAGAAAATAAAATAGCTTCTTACCATGTTTATGGATGACACAGGCCCAATGCTGTTAACATAGATGTCAACATCAATTATGGTTGGCTTTACTGTGGAGAAAACACATATGTGTTACTACTTGGTGCCAGAGGACAGTTGGGCAATATTGAAATTCCTAGTTTTTTGTGCATTTATTTCACAGGTTACATTTGAAAAACAGTTGTTTTTTTCTTTAGGACTTGTCTAAGGAGTCACAATTCAAAATCTGCATGCTTGATCTTTTAAAATTCTCAGTGGAAGGAGGGATTCTTATTTACATTTAATAATAAATTCTAGGAACACAAACTATTGGGATTCCACAAGATGCCAGTAATAATTGACTACATAATTTCCTTAAAGATTCATCTGACTATATGGCTATTTATAAAATAAACGATAAGATAGTACATAAATAAGTTCTAAATAATATAGCCATAAGTCAAATTCTATGAGATCAAACACAAGATTCTGGAAAAGTAACAACATAAGTTCCACAACAACGTATTTGACCTACTACACCCTCTTCAGAAAAAAATGACTCAGCACCCCTTGGCAGTTAAAAACTTTGGGAATCCAGGGTAAAGTGTAGGTATCTGCTTTTGCAGTCCCTCCTGGATCATTCCAGCACTCCCCAAGGGTGGTATCACCCACTTTAGGAAACACTAAATAGTTTCAACATAAACAGAAACCTCATTGCTGTTGATTCCGTTTTGACAGAGTGTCTATAAAACAGGGTAGAACTGCTCTATAGGGTTTCCAAGACTGTCATCTTTACAGAAGCAAATGTCCATGTCTTTCTCCGCCCAGCAGCCGATGGGTTCAAACTGGCATAATTTCCGTTAACACCTGAACATTTAATCGATGTGCCACTGGGGCTTCCCATTGTTCCACCGTTCCTCCACAAACATCTCAAGAAATAAAAGAACAGTGTTTGGATTTCAGGTTTTCTGAACTGGAGAGCAGAGGATAAGTAGCAGGTAATTACAGGAATGCAAGAATAAAGACATCACCTCCCAGTTGCCATGTCACCAAGACTCCTTCCGCTCACCAGGTGCTATAAAGGGAGGAAGCAAGTCCAGTAAAGAAGTCTGCTTCTCTAAGGACCACATTTCCTCCTGTGCAAAAACAAGACCCTACACTTCTCTGAAAATAAGATAGACCTTTCTGGGGACCCATTTGAGCAGGGTAACCATTCTCACACCCAGGAACTGGGAGCTGCCAAGCTGATTTGAATTGCTACAGAAAGAGTCTTAGGATGTGCACTCCATAACTCAGGTCCTTGAAACCAACAGAACAGATGTCCTCAAGGGACAATTCAGGTCTGTCTGTCCTCTAGCCCCCACAGATGCTGAGAACTGCTAAGTGAAGCTTTTGATAGCCAGAAACTGAGCAACTTGAATGAGGCCTGCACCCATACCCAACAATTACCCGGGAGGCGCAGAGATTAACAAGGCAGACTTCATTGTGGGTGAATTCTGAGTGAGCCAGTTCCATTCCACTTCATAGCTGGCAGCTGGCAGATTACACTGAATTACAACAGACCATCAGCATTCGCACAATTTACACACTGTGAATTTCCTATACCTCCAAATCAAAACCAAACCCATTGCCACTGAGTCGATTCTGACGCATAGAGGATGGGGTAGAACTGCCGCTGAGTTTGTGAGACTCTAGAAAGCCCTGCTTTTCTCCCACCCACAGAGCATCTGGAGGCTTCACACTGCTGTCCTTATGGTTAAAAACTCAAGGTGTAACCACTATGTCACTAGGTGTCCCATACCTCGGGCTTGCCAAATCAGATCTCCCTGGAGGTCAGTTTAGACCCACATAATCACCCCTTCTGGTCAGAACTACGAACAGCTGACTGAAGCTGCTGAAACCTGGCCAACAAATCACCTTGAATATAATCCGCACAGAGCCCTGGTAAGGTAGTGGTTACCACTGGGCTGAGATCTTCAAGGTTGTAGTTCCACCCACCAGCCAAGCCCTTAGGAGATAAACGGGGCTTTCTACACCTGTAAAGAGTTACAGCCTTGGAAACTTAAAAGGGGCAGTTCTATCCTGTCCTGTAGAGTACTATGAGTCAGTATTGACTTGATGGTAGTGAGTTTGGTTTGGTTTAGACCCAATAGGGTTAATTCAGGTCTGTCCGGTTCCCCTTCCCCCATTGGAGCTGAGACCTACTAACTGAGGCTGCTGTGAGCAGTGTAGCCAGTCACTTGAATGAAGCCTGCATACACATCCAATATACTGTCAGTGGGGCTCTGATATCTGCTGCCTTTCTGAGGGTTCCTGCCTAGTTAACTGTTGGTTGCTGAGCTGATACAAACTGCTATAGAAAGTCCTTTACTGTGGCGTTTGGGCCCAGGTACTTTAGGGGGGTCTACCCCTCTAAGGAACACATGACTAGCAGCACTCTGAAATAAACAATCTCTCAGAGATTGGTCTGGGGAATAGCAACCACTCCTCCTCTTGACAGGAAGAGAAGCCTGCCTATGATTCCACTGGATGCCAGTGCACAGACAAGTGCTCCCCACAGATAAGAAAAGAAGCCTCACTCAAAACTTGAGGGCAACATCTAGCCATGCAAAGGGCTCACTGGGCTGGAGCTTTCTAATCAAAAACATAGTTACACAGACAGGGAAGTAAAGGAAGTGATAACTAGAGAGAGGAATTCACCTGTAGACATATTGATCTTTTTGTATTTGCTAATGTGTTTAAGAGTTACTGGAAAGTCACAAAACAAGATATGAAACTTTTAATATTTCATTAAAACAGGCAGAAAGAAAGAGTTATTATGTGGTAGTTAGATAACTGCATGTCAACTTGAAGATATAAAAGTGTAGGGGTGAAGTCTAGTCAGTTAATCAGGTCACAGCTTGATAGTACCTCCGTGGGAACATGGCCTTCCTCTAAGGAGGGGCCTGGGAACCTCCCTCTCTCCCTCTGTCTTCACCTTCCTGCTGGAGAGTCACTCTGAGATCTGGCATAGCCCGGGAGATGTGTCCACCACCATTGGATCCACAAGATTCTGCACCCACCAGCCTGTGGTCTTCCTGCATTCTGCATCATTGCCTGTGACTGCAAGAGTCTAAAGAGGGATTTATGGACTAGTATCTGACTTATGGACTTGAGTTGGGATGTCTTATTGATGTATTATTACATATATATGAGTATCACTGAATTTGTTTCTCTAGTCAACCCGGCCTAACACATATTACAACACAATCAACTTGACCTCATAAACATATATACAACACCCCACCCCCAAAATAGATATTCTTTACCAGCTCACACGAACAATAAGCACTCAAGCCCAGGGATTGTAAATAATAAAATCCAAACCTAAGAAAGGAATCGTATCAGGGCTTAAATTGTGAACCCCAGGTTTGCATAAGGCTGTGGATAGGAGCAGAAGCCCAAAATCCATTTATAGGGTCTCCACATTTGTAGGGGATTCTCTGGTGAATCCCCTCTGAACATAGTCCTGGGATAACCTTGGTATCAGACAGACAGCATTTTAAAGTCGATTATGGCATATGTAGTTAGGTTTAAATGTCATACTACATCATTTGATCCCCCAATTTGAAATTTGACCCATTTTTAAAGTTGTTTCAGTTTTTAATATTTTCTGCTTTCTTTTTTATCGAGAGTTTTTGAAGTTTTGTCTAATCATTGTTTGTTTGTTTGATTGCTTCTTGTTTATGTCTTGTATGATTTTCTGTATATGAAATCCAGGATAGACAGATCTATAGAGACAGATTACTAACTGCCTATGTGCATGGCAGGGCTAACAACAATGTGTGTGAGAAGAAAATGTTCTGAAACTGATTGTAGTAATGATTGCACAACTCCTCTTAATATGACTGAATGATTAAATTGTATGAAATGTGAAACATATGCCAATAAAACGATATTTTAAAAAACAAAGCTTAATAAATTTAAATACACTTAGATATTACAAAGTATCTTCTCAGATCACAATACCATAGAATTAGAAGCAAACAACAATAATATCAAGAAAAAAATAAATGCATGGAAATTTAATAAAACCTTTTATTAAAAATAAAACTGCATCATTCTGGGGCACGATGATTGACTAAACACGCACACAACTGGACCCCTCTGTGTACTGTACCACCAAGCAGGTCCAGCCTGGGTAGGCACTCTTTCACATCCCACAGGTGAACAGGCCCATCCCCAAGCATTCTCTCTGTACCACACCAGCATGCAGGGCCCAGAACTAGCCATATGATCTCTCTTTGCCCTGCCAGAAAAGTGGACAAAACCTGGCCAAGCACTCACTCCACATCCCACCAGCAAGCAGATTAAGTGCCTGCCCTGGTGATACCTTCTCACCATGCCAGCAAGCAAGGGCCAGTCCAGTTAAGCACTCTTTCCACCTTCCAACAGCCAGTAGGCATAGCCTCCAGCACAGCAATCTCTCTGTGCCCTGGAAGCAAACAGGACCCAGCACCAGCTTGATGGTTATGCTGTTCCAGCAGGGATAGCCTGACTTGGATCTGCGTTCTTTCCCTGTCTGACCAACGAACAGTCCGAACCTCTACCCAGCACACTTTTTGGACACATCAGCAAGGAGGGCCTGGCCTCAGCCAAGCAATTTCTCCATACTCCACCAGCAACCAGGTCTTAGCTTTCTATATTCTACCAGAAAGCAGACGCGTCCTGGTTTAACGCTCTTTCCCTGCCCAATCACCCAGCAGGCCCAGCCTCAGCCTGTTACTCTTTCTGCACCTCAGCCAAAAGCAGGGCCTGGCCCTGGCCCAGTGATCTCTTTATACCCTGCCAGCAAATAAGGCCTGACCCAGCTAGGTGCTTTCCCCCCATGATCCATGAGAAACCAGGGCTCAATCGAGCCTAGTGCCCTCCCTAAACCCCACCAGCAAGCAGTGGCAAGCTTGGCACAAGACAGCACTCTCCTTACAATATTCTGACAGGCAGGCCTCAGGTCAACACAGTACTTTCTCCACCAGACCACCCAACAACCACTCCACATGAACACCTGATGTTCCAATCTTATTTCTGTGGCTCATCCATACGCCTACTAACT